CTCTCTTTCCCTCTCACTTCTCTCTCTTCTCTCTCTCTTCTTTCTCTCTCTCTCTCTCTCTTTCCCTCTCTCACTTATCTCTCTTCTCTCTTTCTTCTCTCTTTCTTCTCTCTTTCTTCTCTCTTTCTTCTTTCTTCTCTCTCTCTTCTCTCTTCTCTCTCTCTCTGTCTCTCTCTCTCTTTTCGTCTGCAAAATTGGCACCGGGAGACTCCCAACCGCTCTTCCCCCTCCGTTTCTCCTTTCCCCTTTCCTGCTCTCCACCCCTCCCAGCCCCTCCGCCTTTCCTCCTCGTGGTGTGTTTCTCTCTCTCTCTCTCTCTCTCTGCCGACTTGTCTGACCTCTTCTTTCCTTCCTTGGGCCTTCCCTCTTCCGCCTCCACCCCTGCTTCGCTCCAGATCAATTGACGCTATCCCCGACAACCAAAAATATAAGCAGTTGCAGAGGGAGCTCTCCCAGGTTCTGACCCAGCGCCAGATGTACATTCAGCCAGATAACTAAAGCAGCCCAGGTACACCTATCCCCCCCCCCCCCCCCCCCCCCCCCCCCCCAATGCTGAAACTGGCTTACAAAGGGCACCTCGGCACTAAAACACCAAACAGTCACGTTGACTTGAGAGCATGGAGGATTCGGGCTTCGCACCAACTAACCTCCCTAATTCTTGCAAGTCCTGTTGTTGTCGTCGTTGTCGTTTTTGTTTAAGGAAAAGGACAGAGGGAGCCTCCCGGTAACCTTTTAAAGTTTGCTCTCCTTGCCTTGCGGTGTGGAATTCCCTTTGCACTTGAGAATGTGACCGCCGCGGGCCTCGGCGTGCGTGCGTGTGTGTGTGTGTGTGTGTGTGGTTTTGCGCGCAATTTGCAACCCTGGAACCACCACGAAAACCCCCGTCCCCACCCTCGGCCCGGCTGCCGTTAAAAGCCCTCCCTTTAACCACCGCTTGGAGTTTACTTCCACGGACCTTTCCACCCTCCCCAAATGCTACTAACGATGCGCTAACCGGAGAACGGGGGAGCTGGTTACGAATCGTGGGGAAGGCGCTACCGGACGTGTGCTGGAGATGCTGCTTTGGGGGGGGGGAGGGGACGACATCGCCCCGTTCGGCCACAAGGGGGTTGCCCCCCCCCGATCCCCCTTTCCCCCCCTACCCCCCCCCCCCCCCCCCCCCTTTCCCCCCCCCCCCCCCAGGTCTGTGCAGACGTTTGCGGACAAATCGAAGCAGGAAGCTCTGAAGAACGACCTGGTGGAGGCGTTGAAGAGAAAACAGCAAAGTTAGAAGCCGGCGTCTCCCCTTGAGGGTGCTAACAAGACACGCCATGCACTCATTAGCGCCCCCCCCCCCCCCCCCCCCCCAAATTTCTTGGAATCTTCTGTTTTTTCTCTCTCTCTCTCTCTCTCCTCGCTCCGTGGCATCCTCCTCCCCATTATTTTCATTTCCTGCATACAATATTCTCTCCCCCCCCCCCCCAAAAAAATAAAAAAAAAAAAGCCCTCCGTATTCTCCCCCCCATCGCCATCCCAAATAAACGTCTTTTGGGGGTGTGTAGGTGGGGGGGGGACTCTCTAGCCGCTTGATTTCCACTGTCTTATTGCCACAGCCTTGCAAAACGTCTTTTCTGTTGGGAAACCTCTGAGATAATTGTGCTCCTCCCGGCCTTTTTTCTCCTCCCTGCTCCTCCCACCCACCCCCCCACTTTTCTTCTGGGCCTTACGTTTATCCGCCTATTTCCACCGATCATGTTTGGGTTTTTTTTTTCTTTTATTCTCGGTGCGCCCCCCCCCCCTCTCCGGTCTCCCACTGCTCTTTCCATATTTTGTTATATTGGTGTAAAAAATGTACAAGAAACAAAAACAAAAAAAAACCCCTTTATTAAATAACCATGGTTTGTGAAAGAAGGAAGAAGAAAAAACAAAAACCCCCAACCATCGTGGAAAATGTGTTTGGTGTATGTTTGGGAGAGAGGTTGAGAAAGGAGGACGGGTGTGCGGGGGTGGGGTGGTGGCGGGGAGGCGGGCAGCTGCCCCCCACCCCCCAAAAAAAGAGATCTGCAAAAAGCTGGTAAGACTCAAAACATCCCAACCCCCCCTCCTCCAGTCCTGCTTTCCACCCGAGAAGCTGCGGTGTGCTGCTTTTGACTTGTTCTTGATTTCTAATGGAATGCGAAAGACTGGTTATTATTATTATTTTTTAAATATGTAATGCTTCAAATTGGAATCTACATCTCTTATACTTGAGCCTCCATACTTAAAAACGGAAAAAAAACAATAAAAATCTTTAAAAAAAAACAAACGTAAGAAAGCGTTGGGTTGCTGGGCCCGTCTCCGACTCCTTCTCTTGTCCTTTCCCCAACTCTCAAAAGAGTACGGTCTTTGATTGGCAGGGTCCCGATTGGCAGGTCACGGCCTCTGTGGCCTCAGTGCTTCGGTTGAAATGGTTGTCTAGCGGACCTGGCTGCAGATTCGGACAGGGAGGAGGTTGGGGAGGAACCTGAGCCTGTCCTCGGAGGCTGAGGAAAGCTCGGATGAGGGCTCTGCGTCGGAGGCAGAGATGGGACCATGGCAGACTGGCAGTTATCAGCTGCCGTCGGAGATCAGTGGGGCAGAAGAGCAGCTGGAGCTGGTTCCCAACCTGCGCATGCACAGAGCTGCCAAAGGAAAAGAACAGGATTAGAAGAGGAGCAGAAGGGGAGGGGGATTTTGCAGGAAACCATTCGTTCGTTCGTTGCAGCGGTGTGAAGATCTGTCTGTGCATCTCAGAGACACTGTGCTGAGTCCTTCCTTGTCAGCACTGGGACTGAAAATATTTACTTGGCAGCTCTGCAAGCTAGATGAGGTCTGGGCTGCTAATTACACCCTTGAAAGACTGTTGGCCAGGCCTTTGGCTGAATGTGAATGCAAGAGATTCACCTTCCTTTAATAAAAGGGGTTTTGCCAGGACAAAGGGTCTGCTTAGTGCTTTTGGGGGAAGCCGAGGGCAGAACAGAAATGGCGTTTTCTCCTTTGCTCCTAAGCGTCGTCTTGAGCGTCTCGTCTGCCAGTTGGGAATCATTTGAAGACGGAGACCAGTTGGCAAATGTGCCCCCTTTGAGTCGTGAGTTCCTTGGTCCTTCATGACCCTCACCCCACCTCATTCCTCACCCCCAGGGGTGGAGCTTACAGCTTCTTAGCAGTTCTGGGCTTTTTCACGGTTGTTACCTTTTGCTTTTATATTTTCTATAGCTGGCCAGCCTGAAATATTCACGCCGGCGTAGACTCCTTGGGGAAAGGAACCTGCTTCCCATCTCAAAGAGTCCCATGTGTATGGAAAAAGATTTTTTTTTTTTTAATAATGAGAAGGGAGTGGAACTGCATGGAACCTCTCCAGCCAGAGGCAGTCTACCTCTGAACGTCTCACAAGCCTCAAGACATGCTTCTCTGTCGAGGTTCCTAGTTACCTGCAAACCAGGAAGGATTCTTTCCCTCTTTAGCTCCTCTTCCTTTGCAAAAACAAAAAAAGGGGTGGGTGGGTAGGTAGGAGAGCTGAAGCCCACCACCATTGCTTCAAGGGTGAGATAAGATGTAAAAGAAGAGACAGATATGACAATCTCGGGAATTTAAAACTATATTATCCACTTAGTTTTCGTTAGCCTCTGCTAACATGGTCAGAGTGTGTTGTGGTTTGCCGGAAGCCTGTGCAGACAGCAGTGGAATCGGACAGTGGGGAAGGACGGGGACCAGTCTGGGGAGGACTCGGACGAGGGTCCTGGACCATCTGAGAGTGGAGTGCTGACTCCGGAGCCTCAAGAACAGCAGCGAGGCAGAGGAACAAGGGGAGCCTGTTCCCAGTGCGCGCTTGTGCAGAGCTGCCAGAAGGCAAGAACAATTAAGACAAAAAGGAGACAACTCGGGAGTAAGGCTTGGGGGCGATTGGCCCTCCCATAAGACATAAAGGAGGAGCAAAGGGACAGGCACCTTTGCAGGAAGCAACTTTGATCACTCAGTTCTGATTCAACCTTGAAGCTCTGTGTGGACTTTGTACTTCGGCTGGTTTTTTACACTTCATTTGTCACTTTAGTTGTTGGCAGCAATTCAAAGGAGAGAAAGGTGGGTGCTTATCTTGAGGGACTGTTTGGGACTCATTACGGGCTGGGAATGCATGTAATTCCCAGTGTTGAAATAAAACAAGAGGAGTTTGCACTAAGCGTGTGCTTAATTATGGTCTCAGGAAGCCTTGGTCAGAACAGAGTGTAAAAACTACCGTTGGAGAGAGATTCGCCTTGATGCTAACTAACTCTTGACGATGTTAGCAGAGGCAAACGAAAGCTAAGTCGATAATATAGTTTTTAAGTTCCGAAGATTGTGAGGTCTGTCTTGTCTTTTATAGCGACGCCTGGAGCTCGTATTTTTAGGGTAGTTTGCCATTAGAAGGAATACAGGGTTAAGCAAAGAACCATTATCCACTCCTGCTGGGGTGGTGGGAATATTTTTTTATTGATTTCTCCATGTCCATCCCCCCCCCCCAAATATTGCCTTTTAGAAGAAATGCCCCTTGTGTGGAAAAAAAAAGACCCCTCCCCATTTCCTCCAGCCTCCTTTTACTCCCGAGCCTCAATGAAGTCCAGGCAGCCAGCTGCTGGGTACCGAATGCCTTTGGGTTTGGTTCCCCTTCCCCAACGTTTCTATTTTATAAATTAACAGTTTTCCCTTTTGGGGGTGGGGAATCAGGTGAGGTTGGGGAATATTGAGAAGGTTCACGGTCATTGCAGAATACAGTCTTACGTTTCAATGTTCATTTTTTCCATTATTTTTTTCCTTCTCCCCTCCTCCCCCCCTCCAAAAAATGAATTGGAGAAGTAGGAAAGGATCTCGTAAGGCGCGTCTTTCTGGAGGTGAAGCATTTTTTTTTCTAGTTCTAGAGAAAAGCCAGGGCCTTTTATCTCAAGACGTTTTCAGGACGACACCCCAAACCCGCTGCTGGAATCCCAACGCAGCCAAGACCCCGACAGCCGATCCTGGCGTCGTTCAGCTTTCAACCGCGTTCTCTTCTCTGCCCAAAAGAGCGTCTCTCTCTTCCGTGACCGGCAGCTTCCTCCGACGATAGGCCAGGAATTGGAACGAAATCTGAAGGTGAAGAATTAAGGACTGGACCGCAACACCCACCACTGGCTACGAAAGACTTAACAAAACACCCAAGAGGATTGTTCCCCGTTATTTGCCGCTTTGTTTAAAGGACGGAGCCGAAATCTCTCCTTGTCAGGATTGGGGCAGCCAAGCCAACGGTTGTTAGCCAATCTTCAAAAAGATGGTAATTTGTAAGCAGTCTCAGAAGGGCTAAAGGTGGGATGGTGAGATAAAAAGACAGACTTAAAGGAAGTACCTGGAAGCATAAACTTGCCTTACGTGGCCCAGAGGGCGAGGCAGAAATGTTATTTTAATTAACAAGCTCCGGAGGTGGAGCTCTCGCCTCACAGTCAGGAGGCTGTGAGTTGGATCCTAGGTAGAGGCAGATATTTCTCTCTCTGGGAATATATCTGCTGAGAAAAGACTCCACACTGGTGACAGGGAAGGGCATCCGGCCAGTAACACTCCACTCCATTCAGTTGCCCAGACTCCACCCAGCAAGGGATTATGGGGGTTGTTAAAAAGATGATGATGCTTTTGGCTCAGGACTATTTTTGCCACCCCCACCCCCCTCAATCCTAACACAACCGTTGGCTGCCGTCGAGAAAGTCTTGGAATCAAAAGTCGTCTGTCCTTGCCTGCCTGAGGGATTCTGCCGCACTGGACCTGGCACGGTTAAAAGCAGAAACACAACCACCCAACCACCACCACCACCCGTTTCCCGAAAAGGATACCACGATGTCGAGGGACAGAACCCCCAAGCTGCCAACCAGCCAGGGCAAATGGTGGATCACATAATTGGCTTCCGACTGGCCCGCATCCGGGTTTTTCATTAGGACGCTGAGCCCGTAGAGTGTGTTTCCGAGCATGACCAGAGCGAAAAGAGAGTAAGAGATTCCGGTAGTGCATTTCCGCTTGAACTGCAAAAGAGAGAGAGAGAGAGAAAAGAGAGATTGAAGAGGTAGGCTTTTGTTTGCACAGCATTCTTTAATCGTGATTAACATTAAGCCAGTTTTACTCGGTGGCGCCATTCACTGGGCTCACAACTAGCTTCACGCAAGCTTTGAAAGGGAGCAAGCATATGGGGTGGGTAAGCGTGATCTCCTTGTCTTAAATCAGACCAGTTTGTGGGAATAAACACACCAGGGTGTGGGAATACACACACACACACCCCAGTTTTCTTCCAATAGACCTCGGATAAGTCCAGGGGTGGGATCTGACTGCCATAACAATTGATTTGGGGAGCACACGCATGTGTGTCAAACCTGTGCTGTATGCGCATATGCTCTACCGGCTCCGGCAATCATTTATCTTCTCCATCTGACGAGCCGCGCTCAGCTGTGCCGCGCAAAGCAGCTGAAGAAGAAAACGCAGCCCCTAAAGGACAGCCTAGAACCCGGGCGGGCAGGAGGGCCAAACAGCAGACCAGCGAACCGGTTCCGTGTCGGCTGCTCTTCGGCGCTACCGGTTCTATAGAACCGGACCGAACCGGTAGGGTCCCACCCCTGTTTGAAATGGAGCAAGCACGTGGGGTGGGTAAAGGTGACCTCCTTGTCTTAAAATCAGATCAGGGCGTAGGAATAACCTCAAAAATCCCCGGTTTTCTTCCGACAGACCTCAGGTAAGTCTACAAGACGAGGTTTGGCAACGGTTACGCTCAGGGCTGAAAGTTAATCTTCAGGCGGACGATTGTCCCTTAAACTAGGGGCCTCCATCCTTTTAAGCAACGTTTTAAGGCCTATGGACTGGGAGCTGAGCTGCTCCCCCAAAAGAGGCCCTCCCTTCTGCAGTGGGCCTTCTTCA